AGGAGAGGGTTCTACTGTATAGTACATTACATTACAAAGTGCATAAAACTTAAATAAATATATTATGATGCCTATTCGCTGGTTTGAATGGCACGCTCGCCTGTGGTTCTGGTGGTGGAACAAGTCTTTTGGATACCGTAGGCCTAGTGTGCACAATGGCTTGTTTGCACTATAAAGAACCCAGTACATTGTTCGAGACGAGTGGGGGGTGTGGTGCTACCCCAGTGTACTGGTTCACACAGTCCCTGATGTGGATAGAACAAGAGATAGCCGGGTAGCTCCACACCTCTAGCTTTTTGAGACTTCAGTATAAAGCGCTACATAAATTGAACCACATTATATTATTCCACAAAAAACCCATTTCACTATTTTACTCTGTCATAGCCCTCATGCAAAACAACCACCAAACAAGACAAAACCATCACTTTATTCAAGTACTCCTTTATTTCACAATTATATCTCCCGCACAGATTTTTTTTTTTTTTTTTTTTTAATTTGAAGTGGAAAAAATGTATTATTAATTATTTGATTGTGGTAAACTGGCTGACTTAATTCTACAATTTTTTCATTGTACATTTTTCATAATCTTCCTTTTTCTTTTTAACTTTACTCTGCACCTATTTCTTTGATAAGCCAAAAGCATCATAGAGCCTATAATACTTTTAGAGGCTCTGCAAAGACCTCCCAAGTCTTGCCTTTAATGTTTTTTATCAGATTCACAAGCCAGGCAATGATTAAATGTCTGAGAATAGATGAAGTGCTATTGTACATTCATAACACACTGGAATGTACAGTACAATATTTATTTGTGTGAATTGATTTGTGTTAAATTTAACATTTGTGGTAGATTGCTTGAGAAATTAGGTAATTTATATGATTTAATTGCTAATTTATTATTGACTTAATTATCAATCTGTTAACTGTCAAAAAAAGTTAAAGACAGTTTGTTTAATATACTGTACTTTACACAATTGTTTGGTGATTTTTTTGAGTATGTGTCCCAGTCAAACTTAATTAGGATAAACTCTACCCAGGGTCTTTTTAAATTTGATTACAGGTACTGCAAGATGGGCATGTGTTGGTCAACCTGCTCGCTGGTTCCCGGAGTCAGGACCAGATTTAAGTAATTGTGTTTCACCATGGGTGAACAATATTACAAAGATGGTAAGAAAGAGAGTTAGACTCTTATAGTGCTATTATTTAAGAATACAATAACATATATCATTTTTAGAATTAAAAAAAATGTGCAGTAGTTTTATATTTATTTTATTTATTCAACAATATTTTGTGTGGATTTATTGATTAATTTGTTTGTTCCTAGGTGGAGAAGGGTGAAAGCTCAAATGAAGTAACAGCGGCTTTAGCAGAAGTGACCAATCAGGTGCCAGAATTATATGGTGGGGATGTCGTTGAGGTAGTGAACATCTTATCTACGTCTGTGGAAAAAACTAAAATTGAGATTGAGTCATATACATCCATTGAACAAAAGACTGCCTATTCTACACAGGTTACTGAGGTGAGGACATAAGTTGTATTCACAACAACCTTGAGTTAGTAATATCTGTCCCCCTACCTCTTAAAATAATTATAGAATTCTAGGTCGCTGACGTCAAAATACACAAGATACCCCTTCATTACTGAGCAACGCCAACCAAGTGGTCGATACAGCCGAGTGCCTCCTAAGCTGCTAGACTACCATTTACATTTGCTTATATTCAAATGACAGATGTAACTTTATAACATAAATTGGCAATTAAATAAACATAAAATTACTAATATATACCAAGTTTTTTTTTTTTTTTTTTTTTTTTTTTTTTTTTTTTTTTGTTTTTTTTTTTTTAAGTTGAAGTGTGCTTTTATTAGTTTTTTAATCTGAAGTTAATAGGTTCTGGTACATTAGTCAAAAAAAAAAAAAAAGATAAATTGTGGCCAGCTGTAGAGATACTTGGCTGTGACAACCGCGGTGCAACGTGATAATATGACCTAGCGATGCGGTACTCTATATTGTCATATTCAAACTACAGTAAATAATATAAAAACTTTTTTTTAAATAGTTTTTTTTTTTATTGGAGAGGCTTTTATCTTAATATAAAAATATTCCTGGCACACATCAAAATCTGGAACTGGAACACATGCATCAAGCAACATGACAATAAATATATTTTAACTAGGTTAAATTTAATGAACTCTACATATTTGTGTCCAGAATTTCATTTCAACTGGTAGTAATATGCTTGCTGATAAGAGGAAATCCTCGTGGCAAGACCTTCCAAAGGGAGAAAAGACAGATACCGCCACCAGCTTGTTGTCGTCTATTGAGCAGAGTGCGTTTCTCATGGCTAACACTTTTCAAGAAGAGAGAAGTTTTTATGGTGAAGGTGAAAATGTTTGTAAGTAAAATTGTTCTTCTGTTTATTCTGACAAATTATTGTTGTTATTTAATTTCGTTAATCCTCCAATAGCACATCACTATATCAAACTTTTGTAATGCTTTTTCATGTAGGCCTAAAATGTAACAAATCTTTATACATGAACTTTTTGTGAGTTATTCAAAATATAATTGACTTTGTCTTTTATGTCAAGTGATGGAAGTTGTGGTTCATGAGATGAAGAAGGCGACTTATGACCTACAGTTTCCCAACACCCCAGGTTTTGCTAAAAAATGGAATAATATTCAAGACAGCATCACAATTTCATCAACAAGCATTGAAGACAAACAGCAGGACGGTAAGTGCATTTGAATTACTTAATTTTATGCTAGGCATCACAATAGTAGAAGGACTTTAATTAGGTGTATACGCCTTACAATTCATATCGCACTTTCCATAATTAGACAAAAAAAAAACTCAAAACATTAATTACCTATTAGCAAGTACCATATACACACGAAACTGATCTAAGTTTGGCCATTTAATCAATAAATATGAGGTATGCAACCTTCGTAGGGTAGGAAGATATTGGATTGGTACTGTAGGGTATTTTCATGCAATCTGTTATTTATAGGATCATGCGATACAGTATATTTTGTTTATTCAGATTATGAAGAGAGAGTTAACATCTGGAGAGATTTTGCGAGTAAAAAATATTAAACATTAATGCAGATTGTCATACCAATGCTAACATAATTTGCAAAATTCAGATCCGTTTTAAATCCAATACACAAGGGACCATTTAGTGATGTTTGCCATCATTTGGCTCAGCAGGTCTAACAGCTCTTATAGGCTAGGTTGGCATGGAGAGAAAATGTAAAATGTCATCCGTCAAGAGTAATATGGACCCTAACATCTATACCTCCTTTACTGAATGGTAACATCATTAAAATATGTAATAAATGCCAAGGACATGTGAGGTCTCTGATGATGGAAATTATAGCGTCTGTCTGTTGCAACTTAAGGTTTATGGGATTTGATAAAACTTAAGTATAATATTCATGATGTACACAAACTTTCATCTGAAAAAGGTAACTATTTGACAGATTAATGTAATGAAAAACAAACTGTGTTTTCAGTGAAGAATTACTTGATAAGCAAAATCTTACTAAAGAAAAAGTATGAACAAATTTTCTATATGTAAGATCTTCAATTAGATATACAGTACAAACAATTAAACATTCTTTCTTTTAACATTTAATTTTCTTTTAACTTTTCTTCTTTTTACTGGGTATCCTTTTCAATAGATATCTACTGATCTTCCACAGGGCCCAGTTGTGCTTTTAATACTAAGTCTAATATCGAGACTTAGGAAGTGGAGTTGTTTTGGTCGTGAGAAAAAAATCTTGCTGTCACAGGAATTAAACCTAGGACCCTGGAATTGGATGGCAAGCATCTTAACCACCAAGCTATTCAGCTCCACTTCAGATCAAAATGACATTCAAAATAAACAAATGAACTATATTTAGTATGCAAATTAACTATATTTTTACGGTATTGTTTTACAAGACAAGACATTAACACATTTTTAATTGAAGCTATACTTTTCTTCTTTTTTTTTCATAGGTAAAGTGAAGCTGGTCTTCTTTGCATACAATAACATGGAAGAATTATTAGGTGTGAGCCAAAAAGCCAAAGGTCCGCTTGTAAGCAAGAAGTTTGTAAATTCCCGTGTCATATCGCTATCAGTCAACGACCCCTTAAAGCAGGCGCCCCTGAAGGAGCCAGTCAGGATGATCTTCAACCACTTGGAGGTGAGATTAAAGACAAGATAAGATATAACTTTGTTGACAATATGGTGGAAAACATTCATCATGTTGTAATGGGCTTGCTTATCATTGTCTTGATTACTACAGTAGAACTTTTTTACAGAACTCTGTTTATTTTTTATTAACTATTATTTTTTAAACTCAATTATTTTGTAACTATTAATTTTTTGAAGTCTATTATCTTTTTTAACTCAATTATCTTTTTTAACTTTATTTTTTTAACTCTATTATTGAATTAATAAATTGAATTTCCACAAGAAACAGATCAAATCAATTCAATAATCACTAATTTACTGGCTTTGCTACAGAAATATTTTCTCAGCTGAAGTAAGGATCTATTTAAGAAATATAAGGACAGTATTATTAATATCCACGCTGTGACAAATAAATGTGATATGCCCATATTTGGGTGCAAAATGACATCATGCCCATATATGGGTACATCACACAAGTTTGTCATATAAAATTTAATATTGTCGACAACACTTTAGTTATCATCATATTCAAAATGACCTTATCAAAAATTGGAACATGAAATAGATATGCTGGTACCACAAACTGTACAGCAGCATTTAATTTTTATTATTAAATGATGTTATCATCTCTCCCATTAATGTTTATTATAAACATTTCCAAGTATAGTATACAATAGAATTAGCAATGCAATTTAGTAAACTGAAATCATCATTTATTTTCTTAGTGCTGCCTTATTTTGTTGATGTTTATTTTTTTAATTTTCATTACTTTATAATGTTTTTCTTTTATTCAGTGTTACACAACATTGTTTCACCTTTAAATACATTAAATTATAACATAATTTTGTATAGATAATTGAGATAGAAGTAACAATACTGGCATCAAAAGCTTTGCCTTAGTTTGTAATGTTAATCATCGTAATCTTCTGTTTCAACTTTACACCAATACTATTTTTCTTTCTGTCCTTTGTTATTGTATTGCTTGCTATAGGTATGTGATTCTGAAATAAAAGTTGAATTGAATTTACTATAGGACTAGATGTCATCAACTATAAACAATTTAAATATGAAGTTAACATGCTCGTACTGCAAGCTATCTAGCAATATGTTTACATTAATTTACAATACTTTATAGCTTGGAGTCCCAAGTTGAAAAATTGTTTCTTTGGGAGATCTGGTTAAATGAACTTTCTAAACATATTTCATTGTAGACATGCTTGTATAGTTTAAGGTGTCACAATTAGCTTTTCAAGCTACATTAAAAATCGTCGTTTTTCTGTCATTATTGGTTATACTTAAAGAACAGACAGTTTTTGCTGACTTCTGTGCTTTTTTTTTTAACTTTAGCTAGGTTCAGGTAGAGTTCATGTTGAAGGCTAGTACTTAGAGACTTCATTCTTATGCCCAACAATAAATCCAACTATCTTACATTACAGTACATTATATTGTGTTATTATGTACATCTGAAATACAAACTAGAATCAGAAGCATATTATTAATATAGCATTGGTTCATAGTAGTGGATGTAGGAAGACAAGTGCAAAAGTGGCACAGAGAAGTTTTAAGCCTGGCTGCAGGGGAAAAAACAATTTTTTGATGTGTTGTACAATTTTTTTTTTAGACACAATAAGCATATTTGACGGACAAAAGAACATTCCCCCCCCCCCCCCCCCCCCCACCCCCGTTTTAAAGTATTCAAAAATTTGTATCTCATTAACTGTTCCCGGGTTTTTTTGTCAAATATACTTTTTCTCTGGAGCCTGACTTAGTTGCATGTTTGGAATCTAGTTTAGCAAATAACTATGCAGTAGTGTCAGTCAAAACAGGGAGGCACATCACCTGTGACCCCACTGCATATAGTGTAATTTGATGAAAGTATTGTGTATAGTATAGTGTTTCATGTTCAACAATAAATTGATCATTTTTAATCTGTTGCAGACCAACGGAACTTCAGATCCTACCTGCTCTTTTTGGAAATTTGCTAACAGGTATGTCTTCATTGTCTGTCAAACTTTTTGTATTACCCCCTTCAAGGAATTTCATATCTTTTCAAATTATTTGCCTGTACATTTAAATTGAAAAGTTGTATTTTCTTAACATTTTTTTTTAGTACACATGGAGAGTGGGCTAATGAGGGTTGCCAAGTTGAACACAGTAATTCAACTCATACAGAATGTATCTGCAATCATCTGACAAACTTTGCCATCATAATGGATGTCAAAGGTGTTGAAGTAAGCAAGAATTAATGTTGTTTTTGTTGGCGAGGGCAGTATTGTTTATGTGTTCATGTTTATATTAAAACAGTAATTGGTTTTGTTACAATTGTAATTTATCCGTAATTGAGCCACATTGTGTGAAGTCAATATATTATTTATAATAAACCTATTGAATTCTTTGATATTTTATAAATTTATTAAATTCATGAAATATAAAGATTGAATCTAGGTTATGGATACTTACCTGGATAAATTGTTGTATGCCAAGTTCAACGTACAATAACACGTTAACTTCCAAGCATTTTTTTCATTGTTGTCGACCATACACCAAGGTATAGAGGGCGCCACCATAATGAAAATCATTCTTATCAAATGTAATACAACTTGAGCAAACGTACGATATCTATTTATTAGAATTATTTTATTTTAGATAATTTCTTTGTATCTATAGTTTATAAAACATAAATTCAAAAGAGTAATGGTCACTTTTTTTTTCAACTTTTGTAAAAAAGTGAACTACGTCCTAGACTCTGTGAGTTATTTTTTGCAGAACTGTATTTTAGCCTCCTTCCAATGCAATTAATTTGTTTCAATTATTTTATATTGTGCCTGATTTTATTTACTACATTGTATGGAAAAATAAAGTATTTGATTGATAGATCATTGCTTTCAGGTTCTTCCTGAACCTCCAGGGCGAGATTTTTGTGTTCTGGCAACCACTGCCAGCGAATTTATGTGCCATTTACAATAGTAGTATGTTTGGATGTGAAAAATCAAATCTTCAGTGGCCTGAGTGAAGTCTTTCAGACATAACTCACTTTCCTGGCAGACAACGTATTAATGAATGTAAAAATGACATAAACTATTAACTGTTTTGATTTTGTCTTTTCTGATTAGATTTCTGACGAGCACACGTTTGCGTTGTCTACTATTACTTACGCTGGGTTCACCATCTCCATCACCTGTCTTTTGATGGCTTTTATCACCTTTACTGCATTCAAGTGAGTACAGTATTTGGCTGGGCATACCAGTGTTCGCTTTTGAAATGTAGATTTTGTTGGATATAAGTTTAACAATGTATAATAATAATAATAATAATAATAATAATAATAATAATAGTAAATAATAATGATAAAAATCAATAATCATTAATTTAAATATTACTTGAAGATTTACATGGTGAGAATATATAATTAAACTTTCAATACACTATGTATAAGAATATACTTATGAAATAAAACCATTGGTTGGGTGTATTGACATTTCAGTGAGATTGTTCTGACCGTTATACGGAGATTGAGAAAACATTACTTCCGTTGGCCTTAAATAGGGAATATTAAATTTAATAATTATCAATTACATGTATATGGGTTTGCGTGTTGAACATAATGTGTTTACAATTTATTGCTAATAAGTAGTTTCTGATGAGGAACAGATGAGGTGTACTCCTGTTTTGAAAGTGTAATCGTAAATGAGATAACTTTAAGCTTGATTCATTAGTATTCTACTCTTATAATGTCTACACATAGACTTTTAAATTAACTGTCATACAAATTAAGGATTTGAAGTAAAGTGTCAGTAAATCAGTGGAAATGTATTGCTTCAATCTCGTGTAATTGGGAGTTGATAACTACCTTGATCCCCAATTAATTGTTAAGCTCCATCCAGACTGTCAATTTGATTTGACAAAAACATGTCACATGCCTAAATATGGTCATGATGACATCACATCATGACTATATATGGGCACATCATGACTATATATGGGCATAGAACAATTTGATAGTGTGGACCAGGCTTTAGTTTTTCCAGATTTTAGCAAAAGGCTATATTTTAACAAAGTGCTTTTTTCTTCATTTCTGTATTCACATGAGATGGACGAGATAGGATTTGAAAAATTTTGAAAAAAAAAAAAAAAAAAAAAGAATATGAGGAAAATGATAAATTAATAGCATATGATGTAGGTGCAGTGTACTGCCTGAGTGAGTGAGTTAGTTTGACATCCAAATTACGAAATATAAACATTTCTTTAATTTTTCATTTTTTTTTGTCTTGAACAAAGTTCTTTTTTCTTCATTTCTGTATTCACGTAGGTTTTACATAGAATTTGCAAAATTTGTCACGTGTTGTGCAAAAAATATTAGGAAAATGATAAATTATAACATTTGATGTTGTACACTGCCTAGAGTGAATTGGTTTCACATCCGAATTGTGAGATATAAAAATGTCCTTCATTTTTCATTTTTTTGTCTTGAACAAAGTTTCCTTTTCTTCTTTTCATTCATGTGGGTTGTACATGGGATTTGCAAAATTTGTCAAATATTGTGAAGGAAATATTAGGAAAAGGATAAATTATAGCATATGATGTAGTGTATAGCCGCCTGAAGTGAGTTAGTTTGAAATCCAAATTGTGAGATAAAAATGTCCTTCATTTATCTTCTTTTTTTTTTTTTGTCTTTAACATTTCTTCTTAGAATGGATGAGAGGTATTTGAATCTGATATTAAAGATATAATACCTCAAAAAATAAAATAAAATTTTGAATAACTCATTGAAAGGTCAAAAAAGTTCCAACCACATAACAGAAGAATAGTTGTTGCTGATTTACAATAATACAAAAATCCGTCAATTGATTACCAGCCAATTTAAGTGTTATGTAAAAGAGTACAGAAAATGATTTTAGTTTCATAAACATCTATACAGATATTAAGTTGTTATGTTTTTCTGTATCTGTTTTTCACTGTTTATTTTTAAAATCTATTTATTATATATAAAAATTCCACTGATATTATTCTTTCTATTTTTTTAATTCAGAAATCTGCAGAATGATCGCAATACGATCCATAAGAACCTATGCTTGTGTCTTCTTGTCGCTGAGTTTGTGTTTCTCATCGGCATTGATCGAGGGGATTTCCCTGTAAGTATGTGCCGTTGTCAGTATCCTTAGTAATTACTCCTGTCATTGATATTATATTCCTAAGCTTGTTTTGCAGGAATACTTATTTTAAATTAAAATTTTCATTTTTGTTAAATGACAACGTATATGCAATCATCGGTTGATTCGAGGAGCCAAGCAATCTGGATCCAAATAAAACCTGACACTGGCCGGGTTTGAACTCAGGTTTTAGCACAAGAAGCAGAAACAAAACCTCCCTGCCAACCGCACAGCTCATAAGCCTATACCGACCATGTTTTGTTGGATAACATGGTTGGTATTGGTTGATTTATATTCATATGTGGATAACAGTGTGTTAAAGCTATTGAATAATATATCTCATTCTCAATTCATACCATTAGGCAGTATGCACTGTTGTGGCCGTCTTGCTCCACTACTTCTTCTTGGCATCATTTGCTTGGATGTGCCTAGAAGGGATCCAGTTATATGTCATGTTGGTAGAAGTATTTGAAGCGGAAAGCTCAAGAAGGAAATATTATTACCCATTTGGATACGGTGAGGCGGCAGTCTTTACCATATTACTATGGTCTTTATAACATAAGTTTAATATACTATTTCTTCATTTTCTTTTTATACGAAAATGATGATGGATATTAAAATAGCTATTAATTAATGTACTTATTTCAATACAATAATACAGGTCACCTGAATGATTCTGATGTCTTTAAAGGTTGAGAATAAATTTAGTTATTGTACAGTATAAACACTAAACATTGGTAAAGGATCATACAAAAATTATATAATGTAAGAAAAATTGATAAAAAAAAATATACATAGGTTGTAAAAATATATATTTAGCGATATCAAATAGGCATGCCTGATATGGTTATTATTACTGGATATTAAGGATATTTAATTTTTTTATATATTTGAATAACATTTTTACATTTTTTAACCATATTTAATTAGGGTGATCCATGCAGCAATGCTGATCAGTTTTTTATTTTTTCCTCTACAGGTGTTCCTCTCATTACAGTGGCAGTTGCAGCTCTTGTGAATTATGAGGGATATGGAACAGAGAGCCAGTAAGTATAGACACCATGCAGTAAGGGTTTGCACTCCAGGTTTAAAGGAGCAAAGGCTATCTCAGCAGTGAAATCTCATAAGGACTCAATAAGCTCAACTCATACAAAACCAATCAAATGTTTTCCTGTTGCTGCTATCAAATTTAGATGTCTGAAATTTTCCTGAGTCATTTCTCTGGATTGCTTTTCATGGATTCTACATATAAACAGCCAAAACATTATATGCATAGGTGGATTCATAGGGGTGGGTGAAGCCAGCCCACCACCCCCCCCCCCCTAAAATTTTCATAATTATAAAAAAAAATGGAAGAGAAAAAAAAATTTTAAATTGAAATCTTTAAAATTTTCATAATTATAAAAAAAAATGGAAGAGAAAAAAAAATTTTAAATTGAAATCTTAACAATGCTATTTCTGGCCATCTAGAGGTGCCATTATCATAAATTTTAACCTCGCGCCCTAACCATTGTTGGGGCTGAGGTAGTCTAGACCCTGTAAAAAACACCCCTGAGTCCCTTATTTTGAATGCCTTGATCCGCCACTGTTGTGGATGTCAACATATTAATTAAAAAAATACAATTAATGCATTGTTGCTAATTTTAAGGAATAAAAATAAAAATATATAGATAAAAAAAATAAATTGATATCAAGTGAGGCATTTAAAAAATTTAAAAAAAAAATAATTTTGACTACAAAAAATTAGTCTTATATAATTACATGCCAACTTTTACTGTAAAGCTAATAATTTAAATTTACAAGCAATTTATATAACAAATTACATTGTTAAGATTATTAACTTAACACAGATAATACTATGTATTAAATTGAAGGTCACATTGTTAACTAACAAACAATGTAATTTTAAAAACCTTTTATTTTTATTATAATCAGGAAATGCTTAATCTGCAAACATGTTTAACGATTTTATCATAACTATTCAGAAAATTGCTGTGATTATCACAAAAAAATTGAGTAAATTTGTTCACACATGTACAGAATCCTCAAATAGTCTTGCGTGTAAATCCTAATAGCAACTGACATGTGGAAGCAAAATGGACATGTGGAAGGAAATGATGAAAGATTTATATACACAATTTAACTCATTTTTATAAACTCTTTGAATTGGATTGATAAGTTGGTTATCCTATTACTATTATTACACCAAGAATATTGCATATTAAACATACATTGTGGTTTTATAAAATTAAATATAGAAATATGAACATAATATATTTAGAAGGGTTAATCAGTGTTCTCCCAATTGAAAAATATGTGTCAATCCATATAAAGTGTTAGCCTTTAAGGGTGAGGTTCAGCTTTGGAAGAACTCTGGTTAATGCAATGTTTGTGATTTATTCTCAACCTTCAGTTGGGGGATTGAAAACCCTTGCTGCATTTCTCTTGTGTCCTTCATGGAGGTGCTAGGGTTGTCTCTTCACCCAAAAGCTGCTCTGATTGTTAGCTGCAATATTATTGAATTCTCAGCACAATAGTTATACTGCGAGTTATGGGTTATTTGCCTGCTTGAAATTTTAAATGCAATCATCGTACTCATCATCAGTATTCTGCCAAAGGCAGGTCTTGTCTTATAGGCATTATTTATCATATGTTTTCCATGATTCACGATCTTGTGCAAGGTGTCCTATCTACCATTTTTCAGATCAACCAGCACTTCCTCTCTTTGTCTTCCCCTTCCACTTTCCCTTCATATTTTCCTTCCAAAATCCATTTCATCAGTCCTTCTCCTCTTAATATGTGACCTATCCAGTTCTTTTGTCATTTCCTTATATGTGCAATCAACCTCCTCTATTTTCTTTGTAACACTTCAATATTTAAAATTCTTTCTATCCAGCAAATATCAACATGTTCCTCCATACCCACATCTTAGAATCTTCCAGTCTTTTTACTTCTTTCTTCCGCAAAATGTGTATTAGTGAGACTGAAATATTATGTTATTAAACAATTTTCCATACAGTAAGGTATAGAAAATATAAAAAATATGTATCAAACTGATGTAATTTGTATGAATCCCTCTTTAGACAATTTTTCAAAAGAATAGAAAGTAACTTTATCCTGATCTTTGTCCCATACTCATTTTTCTCATTATTTAACAGTTGTTGGTTGCAAGTTGAGAACCATTTCATCTGGTCCTTCATTGGTCCTATTTGTATTGTTATAATGGTAAGTTCTTTCTGCAAATTATTTTCCATATTTCAGTACTTCAGTATTTAAATTCATAATGATCAGAAGACGGTAAATTGAGAAGTAGTTATAGTCAATTTATTCAAAAATGAGCTTTCAGATACATCGACAGGAAAATTTTAAAGGTTAAGTAATGCAGACTGTCAGTTTATTTAAGAACAAAGGCGGTAACACATGAGACGGAGGTACTGTGAATGATGTTTGAAGAATTATGCTTGCTACCTTAAAAAACTCATTCTCAAATTAATTATCTATAAAACATGATTTGTAAGTGCTTCCGGCTTTATTTAATGAAACATTAGTTTGGCGACCACATTTATTGATCCGCATTGAATCAGTCTAGTGTATATGACTACTCATCAAATTTGTTACCAATTCTAGACAACTTAAGTTATTGTACAATTTGGCCTCTATATATTTGCAGTTCTATAAACATAATCAGCATATTTTTAAAATCGTAAAGACTTTGTACTGTATTGTTTACATACTTTTTCTTGAATAAAATAACAATGTACTATTCAGAAAGTGAATTCTGTAATTTATTATTTTGGTTGAAAATTCCAAAATCAAATTATGAAATAGAATATTTTATTCTATGCTACCTATATAGGTGTCAGTATGTTTCATTTTGAGACCTACAACCTTCGATCATTTACCTGAGAAATAGTATATTTTGTTATCACATTTGAAATAACTTGTATAAATTATCATAATCGTATTGAGTAATAATCTTAACCTACTTTCGTATTGAAATCTGTCAAATACCAGATATTGTATTAACCTTACATTTTTTTCGGTGTGAATTTGAGTTTTAAAATTGCTATCGTCAAGTACCACTGCTCTCGGTGATAATTCATTGTTGACAAATTTCTAGCCTGTGAGATTTATTAATTAGTATTGGGTATGAAATCTGAGCTCATTCAGAATTATTTGACCTAGATTTTGTCATATAAACTCGAGGGATAGTCCAAATGATATGGTTTAAATTCATTAGGATAGTTCGCAATCCCTCAAGGGTGAGATTTAATGATGCGAATTGCTTCACTGACTTTCCAAGTCTTTCCTTTTCTATTGATAATGGTCAATTTTGTGTCAAGTTAGTGTGATATCGGAAATGAGAATCGTAATAGGGCTTATGCTGAGGATAAAGAATAATTCAAAGGCTACACAAACTCCAAAATAAACTTATTTGATATAAATATTTTTATTTGATTATTATTATTATTGTTATTTTTGTTAGTGTTACTATTTTTATTATTGTTATTATTCTTATTAATATTCTCAAAGATTATAGACTAGTTTCAACAATTGTATATATTGAGTCAACATATTGTTCTTTTTGGTATATTAGTATTCTTATTATTGTTATTAATCTCATAAGAAAGTATAATACTCCACGTACTCCAAGTATTGAAATACACGCCATCTCATTATTATTATATTTTTAATTGCAGTATTTTCAAAAAGTGTTAAATTTTGGGTGTTTTTCAATTGTCTTTCATGTTATTTATTAATTTTGATGCTGGTAAGTTGTAATGTTAGTGTTGTCTTTATTCTGAATGGAATATTTCCTATGGTCATGTCTTTTTTTTCTTTTACCTGGATCAAATAGAGTTACATGGGTGTATTACTTAACAGGGAATGATTTGTGAATGCTTTTCTGGAAACCACCAATTGCGAGTGTTTCCTAAATTGAAGACTCTCAAAATTAATACAGCCATCCCCCAGCATAGACTACATGTAATCAACCTCATTTCCTTTAAGCTGTCTTGAATAGTGAATATTCCCCTAATCAAGGGTATAGTAGGAGCCACTCAAGGTTAGAAGCTAATGTATAAAGAAACAAAAAGTTGGAAATTTTACCTAGTCCTTAAACAATGAGAGTCCTTTGCAGGACCAAATGTAAAATGAAAGGGGCAGATCTGCACTCCTGATTTTTACCACTAAATTTTAGGATTTCAATACATACGATTTTACGATCATACGAATAAGATACGAAATGGAATACAAATACAAAGTGTTTCAGTAGAGGCGACCTTGTCATTATGCCACTAATGCTAACGCTTCCCATTTTTTCATATTTTTGTCCACTTCTCCCTGTAAAAAATTATGAATCCGTGCCTGGGTAACACCACAAACAGGCAATAAATCCTACTCCTAAAAATTTAATCTATTCTAATATTATTAGATAAAATGACATTCATTTCGTTACATTTTAATTTTCATTCTTATTTTTTTACTTCCTATTTAATACAAGTGCTGATATGTTTTACATGCAGGTAAACACGGTTTTTCTCACGATGGCGTTTGTGATCATGTGTCGTCACAGCACTATAGCAACGAACAAACGACAGAAAACCACCAAGGAGAAACTGACGTAAGTCTTTTTTTTTGTGAATACTTTGAGATAATTAAAATAGAAAATGTGTCAAATAAAATTTAGATTGATTCTTAGATTGATCAGGTACATTTTTGAATGGTATTTTTAAAAAATTGAACAGGGAATGAGTATCATATATCTGGATATTCAATATCCTTTGAATCAGTACAGAGGAAATTGGAATTATCACGGTTCTGTAAAAAGTGACGTCACATTATCTCGTCGACTTTAATGGTTTTCAAAAGCTTGGATGTAAATGAACAGTTGGTGTTTAGTGCTTCCAGCCAGTTTTACATTAAACTCCAAAGAGAACACATTTCCCTAGGGAGAACCGCACCAGACGGACAAGTTTACCAAGAAATGAAGTCATAATGTAATTAGAATTCTTAATGGGTTCACGATGTACAATTGCCTTGTGAGCTAGCGGAAGTTGAAAATGCATGACACGCACAACTTCCACTGCATCGATACTCGTGTGAGCTGGTCGAATTTAAGATACTTGATACGCAAAACATGGTAGCGTGTTGATAGTCATGTGAGCTGGTGGGATTTGAGGTGCGTGAGATGCAAAACATTTGGGATTGATAAGGAAGGAAAAAACTACTCATTTATAGCAAAAGGAAAAATTAAATGGGTTGAATGATTACGAAAATTGACAAGAGTAGTGTGTTTGATAGTTAGGATAGGGCTTTAAACATTAAGGAGCTGTCGATTGCATGACGACGGTAGGACATAGAACGTAAGGACGTCAGTAAAAGTCATATGCGCATGCGAGAACATTAAGGTCACCTCGTCAAGTAGATTCTGGAACACAATTTGGCCAAATTTACGTATGCAGAGAACGTAGGTCACTAGGTAGGATGGTCACGCATGAGTGTGTCCGTTCTAGCATAAATCGAAAACTCCCTACTACATGGGGTAGAACATTATATAAATGATGATGATGTTTTTATTTTTACATTTTATTTTAAAAGTAAGTTATGTACCCTTTAATTAAAGTTTGGTTCGAGAAAATGTTTTCCATGTCAGTTCATAGAATACAAGTAAATACGAATAAATCTGGGAAGAACTGATGTTTTAAATATGAATTAACAAAAAATATAGCACCATTCCCCCTTGCCATCTAGTAGTTACATAAAAACAAGCTGCTCCATTGTACAATACATGTGATTGTGAGATTTTTGCAATATTTTATTGAAAGGTATAATATAGTATAAAATATGTTAGACAGCATGGGAATGGTGCTTTTTTTAACTTGCAAATAAAAAAAAAGCACAGTGAAATTGATTCAAAACAGTATATATC